ACTGTTGATATTACCACCAGTCAGAAGAAATGTGTTAGTAAAATACAAAGAATGGACATTTTAGTGTCAGAAAGGTTATTAATAATAACTAAACAAACTCTGAAATGCATTTTTGGTGCCAATTTTTTTCTCTCTCTCTTTCGGGAACCTGCAGGAAAGTGAAACCTGAGAGCACTTTAGAAGAATGCTGCAAAGCCCTTTGATGACTAGTGACAAATATTTCAAGGAGAGTACTGTACCATCTGAAGAGCTGGCACCCTGACCTCTGAGATGCATGGCGTGTGCTCTGGTTTAGACAAAGCATGTTGTGGAAAGCAGCCGCTGGCACTCAGGGCATGTGAAATACCTCTGACTAGACATACTCAGAGGTTAAATATACTGATGGAGAAAAATGACGTCAAAGATCTGCAGTGTACCAGGGCACACAGTAATGGAAAGTATTTTTAGGATATTGTATAAACTTTTCTGCACCCCTTTGCTTCTATTCTTGTCTATAAGCTTCATCTGTTGCTAACTAACTCTTTGAAAAACAAAGATAGGTTCCTAGAGCTTCTAAACGTGGAAAGCTGTCAGGCTAAACTCCTGTGGAACCAGCTCCCAGTTTCAGGCAGTGGGGCAGACACCCTGTCTACATTTAAGAATCGACTTAAAACTTTCTTTTTTGATAAAGCTTATAGTCAGCCTGGTTTAGGTTATCTTGACTTATCTCTGTAGCTACACTACCGTAGGATTATGCTGCTGGATTACAAAATGACCATTCTACTACTTTTGCCTACTACTCTCCAATTATTTGCAGTTGTTTTACCAACTTGACTGCATTGTTTGATAACTACAAAGGATTTGGAATCTGTCTGCATGATTGGATTAAAGTTTCTTGAGATTAAACGAAGAGGCACAATATAAATAAACTGGATTTAAATTGAACTGAATGATTTCGTTTAAAGCTTATTCATGTGTTAGGATGGCCCTGTCAAATTTTACACCCATTTCTAATTGAGAATCTGTTGTAAATCGTGAAAACTGCTTCTTTCCAGTCTGACTGAGCTTATATGAAGGTATTTTGCAGGAAGATAGGGAGGAAAAAAGTTAAGTCTGGAAAGTTTATGGAGACAAACCCCAAAAAGACTTGCTGCTGTGGTTACAGTGAAAGTTGATACTTTTAATTGTTCAAAAATGCAGTTAAAATATATTGAAACACATGGTTGTAATGTGGCTAAATGTAAAACATTCCTCATACTACTATCCATAAATATACAAACCAATTTAGAGCTAAAATATGCAGTAAAAATTATTTAGATTTTTCACTTTATTTATTTATTTATTTATTTATTTTGCTCTTTCCCAAGAGCGCTATGTGATTTGCTCTTGGGCGCAAATATAAAATGCACTGCAGTCGGATGTCTGCCATCCTCTTTTTCCACATGAGCAGGTGCTCGCTGCATCAGAGCTATTTAAATTTTAGATCTGAGGAGCGCATGTGCGCATGCGCCGCGCAGTCATCTGACGAGTGCGCGCAGTTGACGCTTCACAGCACCACACAGAGAGGGCCACCGTTCTTACTACGGAGAGAGAGACACACACACTCGGTCTCCGCCAAGACGCATCTGTTTCAGGATTAAGCACTTTATCAAACACTGGACCCACAACACTACGAGCCTTTATTTGGTTTGAAACCAGACGAGCGGCTTGAGGAGCAGAGGAAAGAAATCCTGCTGAAATGTGGCGGGCGACGCTGGAGGAACGGTTTTGGGGTAAGGCTCGAGGGGGG